GGGCGGTTAGAAAATTTTACTACTAACAGTGATACAAAAGTGGGTGGTAGGTATAAAAAGGTTGACTACCCCTGGGTTAGACTGTATAGGTTAACAGTGGTTAAAAAAGGTGAATAAAAGAAATTGGAGTGACTTACGAGTCTGGAATTCATTTTGTTGGTATCATCTTCAGGCATGGGCAGATAGATAGCCAGTGCAATACAGTTGGCAAAGATAGTTAATAGGATGATGATTTCAAAGGGCCTAAAGATGCTTGTTAAGGAACATTGGGTTAGATTGTGTAGTTTGTGGCAAAGACTGTAATAATAGGAATAACAGTAAATAATAGAAACAGTAATGATACGTTAGTCTGTCTGTCTACATCCTAGTGCTTACCACTTAAGTCAGCCATTCTTGCTGAGGATTCTGGGAACTGTACTTCAAATATTTGGATGAAAGAATGGGTTCAAAAGTCTACTCTGGCATGCATGTTAGACTATAACTATGTTGGTTGATAACAAACACTAATTATTGTGGATTTGTAGACTGCAAAAAGACACAGGTAGAAAAAAGTAACTCCAGATAGTCCTCGACTTACAACAGTTCATTTAGTGACTATTCAAAGTCCCTGAAAAAAGTGACTTATGACCATTTTTCACACTTATGACCTTTCCAGCATCCACATGGTCATGTGATTTACATTCAGAGGCTTGGCAACTGTCTCACATTTATGAGAGACAATTCCAATGTCCCAGAGTCACGTGATCTCCTTTTGTGACCTTCTGACAAGCAAAGTCAATCAGGAAGCCAGATTCACTTAACAACAGTTAAGAACTGCAGGGATTCACTTAACAAATGAGGCAAGAAAAGTTGTAAAATGGAGCAAACTCACTTAGCAAATTTCTCACTTAGCAACATAAATTTTGGGCTCAATTATGGTCGTAAGCTGTATAACAGTATACTCTGTTGAATTCTATTGCATAAAACTCTTCCCTTTTTCCATATTTAGGTAAAAAATAAAGACTAACTTGAATTGAATGCAATTGCTGGTGACTTCATGGACACAACCATATCGTTTCCTTGGCAACCATACATAAGTCAGTTGCCACTGATTTCTCCCAGGATGTTTTGGGAACTTCCCATTCTGGTCTACAGCTGGGAGGTTTTTAGTGGTTCTCCCATCCAAATTATAATCCTGTTTTACCCTGCTTAGGTTTGCAAGGGATTATCCAATTAAGAGCTATGGCACTTAATTGCCTTTGTTTTAAACTACCTTTAAATTAAATTATACGTAATTTATTGTGAAAATGATACTGTGGAAAGAGTGCCCTAGTTAGCACTCAGAGGTGTGGTGATCCTTGGCTACACTAGAACCCAAACACACTTTATTCTGGCAACACTCGGAAAGGTTACTTTCCTGGCTGGAGCAGAAGCATCTCTAATCTATGATAAAACATTTTCTGACTGTGACATAGTTTATTAGCTGCAGGCATGTGAGGGTCTTTGAGATACATATAATGTAATTTGATGCAAAAGGCTTTCTCTAATTCTCTCTTACTCTCACACACATTTCACTCTCCCCTTTTCTGCTTGTCATGAGAGAACTTTTGGCTTTAGGAGTGATAAATGTGATTTCTCTCCACAACAAAGAGGTTAAAAACCAGGGGTGAAATTCAGCATGTTCTGACAGCTTCTGGAGAACTGGTAGCGGAAATTTTGAGTAGTTTGGAGAACTGGCAAATACCACCTCTGGCTGGCCCCAGAGTGGGGTGGGAATGGAGATTTTGCAATATCCTTCCCCTATCATGCTCACCAAGCCACGCTCACAGAACTGGTAGTAAAAAAAAAAAGAATTTTACCACTGTTAAAAACTCATTCCTACCCCAGAGACTCAACATGATGCACAGACTGGGTATATAATAACGTAAGTACGCATGGTAAATAGTGAGACGAATCCAACCATAAATGAAATGGTGACTGATAGGGTTTCAGTGCGTTCTCAAATGTGAGTCTAAATTTTCTTAATACAGTAGCTGTTGTCACATTTATAATATGTGGTGGTTGCTTTCCACCAATGTTTTGACTATGACCCCAAACAATCTCAGCCAGAAGGTTATGACTGATAGATTAATAGTTAAGCATCAGATTGCGACTAGATAAAAATGATGTTAAAAACATGAAATGACATAGTAAATAAGCATTTTTCCCCTCACAACCCTTCCATTTAAAATGACTCTACATAGCTGCTTTTCGATACAGAAGAAAAGATTTCACTATTTAATTCTAGGTAGCTCTCAGAGTCATTTAGCTTTTTGTACCTATGAAGAATGAAAAGAGAAATTCTGAGAAACTAAGATATAGCAGCTTGTGGTGTTGCCATGCAGGCAACTAATATCCAAGAGAAATGTCAAAAATCACTCAGAAACAGAAACTATGACCAACTAATTTGGCTTCAGAATGCCAGGTGGCTATTGTTTAAAAGTTAAACTCTCCTTTTTTCTACAATTGAGAAATAATAAAGCAAAAGAACTTCAATGTATATGTTTATAGAGATAGAGATATATAGTAGTCCTCGACTTACAACCACAATGGAGCCCAAAATTTCTCTTGTTAAGTGAGACATTTGTTAAGTGAGTTTTGCCCCATTTTACAACTTTGTTGCCATAGTTGTTAAGTGAATCACTGCAGTTGATAAATTAGTAATCCATTGTTAAGTCAATCTGATTTTCCCATTAACTTTGCTTGTTAGAAGGTAACAAATGATGATTATATGACCTTGGGAGACAGCAATGGTCCTAAATATGAACCAGGTGCCAAACATATGAATCTTGATCAAATGATTATGGGGATCTGCGAAGGTCGTAACTGAAAAACTTTTTACTTTAAGTAATATGAAATATTATATTTTCCTCAATATGAAATATTATGCTTCAATAACAAAAGATCCTGAGAAAGAATAAGCAACTAACCTTTCAAGGATAAGAAAATAATTTATGTCCTAGGAAATCCTGAAAATGCTGATTAAATAAAACACAAATAATGGCAAGGAAAGGAATTGATTGACAAAAAAATAAGAAAGGAAGAAGAATGGAATAAGCATTAGAAGGACATTGCCACAAATGGATGAATAGTTCAACATACAGAACATAAATTATTGTTCTGGTCTCAGATTTTCTGATTTATTCTTACCAAGTTCAACACCAAAAACTGGACTTTAGAGAAACATGGAAAGTCAAACAGAAATTGAAAATACTAAGGTGAGAAATAGCATTTCCATTATCCCAGGGAAGAAGCAATTGTTCAATTACACAAGAAATAAATAGTTCATAAGAAGAAACCTTATGAAATGTGAACACTAAAATTATTGCCATACTGTATGTAATATATATTTTCAATTTAAAAGTACTCAGTTTATAAATTGGTGTCCCACTCCAAATTTCATACCATCAGTGACCAAAAGCAAAGGAATTGGGGTGTAACGCCCTTTAAAAGAGGGAATATTGTACCCACTGAATGAGCTCTAAGATTAGATTCTACATTCACTGCAAACTGATTGCTTGCATGAAGAATGAAGACTAGGCACTATATCCATATGGCTAAATTAGGAGAAGAGATGTGTTAAGAGTAATTAGTAAAATGATGGACAGTGAAAGCACCAAGCAGCTGTGATAAAGAGAGAAACGGGGGCATATAAAGCTGGTGTGTGTATGTGAGATGCACAAATACTTTGAGACAGGGCTCCAGACAAGACATTTATCAGGCCATTGTCTTGCCTTTTCAAGGTTGATAGTATTTGCATCTGCTCTTCTGGTTGATCCTAAAGACAAACATCACTGCCTTCCATTTAGAATTCCCTGTTGTTAAGTCCTGAAATTTCTGCCCACAGTCTTTACATCAAGATATGCAGCAGGATCAGTTCATCGATATTACACATAGTCCTCAACTTACAACAGTGAGCATTCAAAGTTAAAACAGTATTGAAAAAAAATGACTTATGAATGACCATTTTTCACTCTTATGACCCTTGCAGCATCCTCATGGTCACATCAGGGTGGCAACTGTCTCATATTTATGGTGGTTGCAGTGTCCCAGGGTCATGTAATCATCTTTTGAGACCTTCTGAAAAGTGAACTCAATGGGGAAGCCAGATTAATTTAACAACCATGTTAGTAACTGCAGGGATTCACTTAACAAATGAGGTGAGAAAAGTCGTAAAATGGAGCAAAACCCACTTAACAAGTGTCTCACTTAGCAACAGAAATTTTGGGCTCAATTGTGGTCATAAGTTGAAGACTACCAGTACTTTAAAAATACTTACATAGCCCCCTTGAACGACTTGAAGCATTTCAAATTAGTCTAGCAGAGATAGGAAACTTCATGCCCCCAGTGTATCCTGGCTATGTATTCCTCGTTTAGGCCTAGCTACCTTCTCTCCCTCACTTTTCAGTAAATTGTAGAACAAAGCATCACTTTACTTCCGGCATCGTCTTTATTTCCCAGGTTGCTTTAGAGCTCCATATTGGCTCTTACAGGCATTATTAGAAAAAACAGAAGTAAAGTGAAAAATAGCATTTCCTGGAAGCCTAGAATTATGAACACAGACAAATCTCATCAAAATGTCTTCCAATATAGATGTCATTTTATAACTGATAGTTGCTACCATGACAGCCATTTCATGAAGGCCTAAGAGTTTCCCCTCTAAAATCACAGATGCTCTCAAAATTCCAGATGTATCCAGCAAGTCCCAAATCTATCCCTGTGAAAATGACAATTATAAACCTTGAACTTATTATTTTACCAATGCCAGGCAAGAAGTAAACTTTAGATAGTCATATGCATGACTCTAGCTGTGAAAGATCTCATTTAATTTTTTCCTTATGTATGCCTATCTGCAAACATTATTTTACAAAGAAGAAAGAATACCATAGTGACCAGCATTAGTGCCGATGAGTCTTGGCATATTCAAACTGGCCTAGATGCTATTATCAAACCAGTTTATCATGGCATCAATCTGTTGTCCCTTTCTAGCCGCTAGCAGAGTCACTATTTGAAATATGGTGGGTTCGCACATTACACTAAGTCAAGGGTGGGCAACATTTGAGGGGCAGGACCATAGAAGGCCATTATGGTACTACTAGAAGGATAGGGCTGAGATTTGGAGGGGGGTATTTCTACTTGGTTCAAGGGATTAAGGAACTAGGGTGGAAAGAAGGAATGTGTAATATGAACAAGAAATAACCTAGTTTACTTATATATTTCCTGCTTTTATTATTTTGATAAATAACTCAAAGGAGTTATTAACACACCTAATACTCCTTTCTCCTTCTATTTTCCCCATGACAGCAACCCTATGAAGTGATTGGGTTGAAACAGAGTGACTGACCCAAATCACTCAGCTGAAGGGTTACTACTATCACAATCTCCTGCTTTTTAGACTGGTGCCTTAACCACTTCACCAAACTGGATCTATATATTCACATTCCCAGTTGCAGTCTAAGACCTGCAGCTAATTTGTCAATAATTTGCTAATATCTCTTTCCTACAGAATCATTTGCGGCAGTTTTCCAGGTGATGAAATTTTTGTTGTTGGCTATCCATAGCTGGCCCAAGATTTATATATTTCTTTCAGGGAAGAACTGAACAATTCTCCACTTTTCCACCATACCACATGCCTGAAACATGGCATCACGTAGAATTAGTTGCTTCAGTGTTCAGATTATGAGACAATTTAAAGTCTGCTTGTTTTGCCACATGTTTTTATCCAAGTATACGCAGGGAAAGGATAAAAATTCATTTTCTTTCATCTATCCATTAAGTAATACAGGTAGATCTCGACCTATGACCAAAATTAAGCCCAAAATATCTATGTACTAAGTGAGACATTTGAGTTTTGTCCCATTTTATGACCTTTTTGCCACAGTTGTTAAGTCAATCATTGCACTTATTAAAAGTAACATGGTTTTAAAGTGAATCTGCCTTCCCCATTTACTTTGGTTGTCAGGTTACAGAAGGGGATCACACATCCCGGAACCTTGCAACCATCATAAATATGAATCAGCTGCCAAGTATCTGAATTTTGATCACCTAAGCATGGGGATCCTGCAATGGTCATAAGTGTGAAAAATGGTCATAAGTCACTTTTTTCAGTGCTGTTGTAACTTTGGTCACTAAATGAACTGTGATAAATTGAGAATTATCTGTATTAATATTTGCCCTATTTCATTTGTTTCATTGAAATAGCTTACTGGGTGTACACTATATTCTATGATTCATACCAGTATGATTATTTTTCTGATTGATAATCTGTTTTTACATTCAGATTACAACTAGGATGTTCAACAGGAGTCTAGAAAGGTCACCTCATCCAAACCTCTGCCCATATACCTTATTCTTCTAACTTTAGTCTAGATAAATTTCTTACAATATGTCTGAACAAATCAATTTTATCCAGATTATAGTCCAACACAAAGAGTAAGAGAGAATAAGAAACCATATCACAGAATGCTTTGTCCATTCAACAAACACTAGGATAAAATAAATCATGTGACGCAAGCAAATGAGTCAAATTGAACAGAATTTTTTTAAAAAGACATTGTACGATGATCAATTAGTTTTTGAATCAGAACAAAACTACCCTGCAGCCTTAGAGGAGGGAAAATGTTGGTGCTTTTGTAAAGAACCTTCCTGCTTAAGATTCTCTGACCCTGGCTATTATATCCTCTCAGTTATAAAATCCGTTGAGGAGGGACAGGAAGCTATTTCTGAACTCAGCGTAATTCAGTGGAGGAGACAGACAAATTAACCATCTCGACTGCATTCAGGTCTTCTATTTCAAAATCAGCATTTATGACCGCTTTAGAGAAATGAGAAATTACAACATCAGTAAACTCATGCTATTATAGTCATTCCCGAGTTACGGATCAATTGAAGGCAGGGTCAACATAAATGCTTGAGTTCTTCCCTGTTTGTTGGTGCCTGTCTTAAAAGAGACAAAGACCAACACCTAATCTGACTCCATCCCTGCATTTCTAGAGAACATAAACAGAATTTGCTCTATAGATCGTGGTCACCAAAGAGCTGCGTTGTTAGGCAATATTTCTCAGCCTTTCCCCTTTGCCTTTGTTTCCTCCAAGTTTCAGATGTTTACACCTGGTTGTTGGGCCCCAGGCCAAGCACAAATCATTCCAGAAGCTACCCCAACATTTCCCCCCAAAGGATACTTCCATTCCACAATGGCAATGCAAGCCTTCCGCACTGGGTTCTTGAGGGTGAGGCACAGCAAAGAGCGGGGTGGCCTAGGAGGAAGTTCCAGAGCAGTTTTCTTAGCCTTTTCCTTCTGCTGTTTCTTCTTCAGGTTATCCTCTTGGACAGATGTGGGCTCCATAATAACTCTCCTTCTTGCCTCCTTGAACCAGACTTCTCTTGTCTCTTCTGCCTCTTCTTTGCCCCACAGCTAGGCCCCCTTCCCCAGCCCCAGGGAAGCTCAAGCCCCCTCTGAATCCCTTGCTTCGGTTGACCCAATCTTCTCAGAGTAGTGTAGGGCTGCGGGGCTGGCAGTTGCCCTCCCCCAGACACAAGTACACCAAGCATGTGTTTATAATTAGCCATCAGCCTGGCTCCCAGGGCTGTCAGATTTCCTGAGACAGCAAAAGGGCCTCAGCAGCTGTTCCTTCTTCATACTCGGTACATTGGCATTTTTGAGCTACCAATCCAGGTCAGAGGAAAGGAGGTGGGTTTCTCCCATCAGTCTTAAAGTTAAATGTTTTTAATTCATATTAATTCATAAATGTGGCTCTTACGACCATCTTTTATTTTTAAAGACACACTAAACAAATACCCTGTAATGGCCTCTGCCTAAAAAGCCATACCCATAGTTGAATACAACTTTCCCCAGAAACATCATAACTCCTGGTTATTATAATAGATTTTGAGAGTGAGGACATCAAATCCAAACCCCTTGTTCCAGGCAGGAACCTCTTCATTCTGGAAACAAGGTTATCCAGTCTCTGAACTGGGAATCCACTACTAAGAAGCTGAAGAAACTTCTTGGATGAGAAGAGAAATGTGTTCAAAGAAAAACCAGAAAGTCCACTTGCCTCTTGGAAAAGCACCTTTGGGACAACCATGACCTGGATGTCTGAGAATCTCCATCGACATCTACCACTTTGGATAATTAATTCCACTGTTGAATTGCTCTTACTTTTAGACAGTTTTCCTAGCACTCGGTTCCAATTTAGGTTTTTGTGAATTAAATCCATTGTTCTGTGTCCTGTACTCTGGGACAATGCAGAACAGATTATTATTTTTCTCTGTGTACTATTCATTCTGTTAAAAGAATTTTCTGGGTTTCTTTTCCAATCCATAGTATCGCAAATAAGACACACGGCATGGTGCTAGGAGGTGATCTGTTTATTCTAGGGAGCAAAGAGGTTCACTTCTTGGGGTAGCTACGAGAAATGGGGTACTTTGAACATGCTTTGAACATGGTTCTTTGTGTTTGAGTTGGGAATGTGCTCATATTTGTGTGTGAGCTAGCTATGAATATGATCATTCTGTTGTTCCATTTGACCAGGGGGCAATCCTAATTGTTCTTTCCCCTCACTGTAGGTTTTGTCCTATAATGCCTTGCTAAGACTGCACTTGGAATATGGCATTCAGTTTTGGTTGCCACAATATAATAAATAATGTTGAGACTCTAGAAAGTGTGCAGAGAAGAGCAACAAAGATGATTAGAGGACAGAAGGTAAAAACATATGAAGAACGGTTGCAGGAATTGGGTGTGTGGGTTAAAGATAAAAACAACAGGGATGACATGATAGCAGTGTTCCAATATCTCAGGGGCAGCCACAAAGAAGAGGGTCAGCCTATTATCCAAAGCACCTGAAAGCAGGACAAGAAGCAATGGATGGAAACTAATCAAGGAGAGAAGTAACCTGGAACTAAAGAGAAATTTCCTGACAGTTAGAACAATTAGTCAGTGGAACGACTTGTTTCCAGAGGTTTTGAGTGCTCCAACACTGGTGGTTATTAAGAAGAGATTGGATAACCATTTGTCTGAAATTATATAAGATTTCCTGCTTGACCTCCAAGGTCCCTTCTTATTCTGTTATTCTGTTATGTTTTATCATATGTATGCTTTCTAATTATCTCTTTGTGGTGAAGGGAAGTATGGGCATAGGTTTTTTAATTTCTTTTGCCAAATTGATTACCTTTTGTATGTTTTTGTTTTTGGCCAAAATGCACTTTTGTCGATCTTCTCTTACATTACAATTTCTTTGCTGGGAGTTCCATGTACAGTGCACTGCAGTAGTCTCAAAGGGAGGTGACTAACATGTGAGTGACTGCAAGGAGAGTCTTCCAATCCACAGATGAGCATAATTAATACCCAAAGATGGATTTATGCAAAGGACCTCCTAGTCATGACTGTCACTTGTTTCTTAAACAGGAGCTGTGTGCCTAAGAGGACTGCCAAATTGAACACCAATTCTGTCTGGGGACTCTTCAGAGTTAAAGATGGAAAATCTCCAGATCTGGGAGACTTGAAAATCCACATCTATTTGGACCTGCCAAGATTGAGCTGAAGCCCGCTTTCCCTAACTAGATTTTCCCAGCCACACTTGTCACGTTCTGAGCATGCGCTAAAATAAAGAGTTTAAGCGGGAAGCGCTCGACACCCGATTGGCTGATCGTTTGACAGCTCCTGTATAAAAAGGNTTTTGAGACCCACCACTGATATACACACATACACATTTTCATCTGTTATACCTTTCCAATTCTGAATATCTCTAAATAAAGTATTACTACTTTTCCTATCTGCTTATGTTGAATAGTCTTTGCTCACACAATAAACTCTGAATGATGTCTTCCTGAAATGATCCCAAATTGGACTAAATTCATTTAAACACTAACTAGGTACATCACGAATCGTTGTGAGACTCCCTTATAAGCAGGAGATAGACCACTCATGACCTCGATGAGAGGAAAGAAAAGGATAATTATTGCTCCTATACATCTAACAGGTAAATGGGGATAATAATGGATAAATTCAGAACAGCATAAATGGGGTTCATCTCCTGATATTCTCCTACACCATCAAACCCTTAGGGATTATTCTAGACAATAGACCAAATCATCTAAATAAGAGACAGCTAAAGAAAACAACACAATATAGTTGAAAAATCTTTAACCTGAACCTTAATTCTGGAATTTTTGCTTTGCCCCACTAGAAGCAATATAAATACCAGCTGAGGTTTCTGCACCTTTATTCCCACAATAGTAAACCATAATTTAAGTTCATTGTATTTAAACATTAATGTTGACCCTATGATATTTATAGCATTGCTAATGTTTTCTTAGATCTCTGTCCTCTAAGATATTTCCAATGGAAATTGTTTTCCCCTTAGCATTTACTATGAACCTAAATTCATAAACTAGGACATAAAGCTGGATCATATACTCTGGACTATACTTTATGAAATCTTACAAAGACAATTTCAGTGGCTTGTTAAGTAAACTTCTGTACAATCTTCATGTGCAAGAAAACATCTACTGAGGAGAAGCTACTAATTTAATATTCTCAATTCTGTCCCTAGGCTATTTCATAAAAAACTCTTTCAAGAATTGATGATGGGGAAGATGACGAGGAAAGAGGTTTGCTCCAAAACCTAATCTTATATCTCCCCCTCCCAAGCATATCAACATTTCATTTATATATTCCATCATGAACTGGAAGCTTAGGGCACTTCTGCATGAGATTTGGACACCAGTTCCAGATTAGCACTGTGTTTTTACTCCATTGTTGCTACTAATATAATGAACTTAAACTATTTTCTTCCTGTAGTTTAAAAAGCAGTAGATTAGGAGCAAGGGCAAAACAGAGCCGAGGTGGCGCAGTGGTTAAATGCAGCACTGCAGGCTACTTCAGCTGACTGCAGTTCTGCAGTTCGGCTGTTCAAATCTCACCGGCTCAAGGTTGACTCAGCCTTCCATCCTTCCGAGGTGGGTAAAATGAGGACCCGGATTGTTGTTGGGGGCAATATGCTGACTCTGTAAACCGCTTAGAGAGGGCTGAAAGCCCTATGAAGCGGTATATAAGTCTAACTGCTATTGCTATTGCTATGTTTATTTTTTTTAAAACTGGAAGTGCTAGAGACCCATTGAGCTGGAGCATGCTATTTTCCTACTGGTGGAAATTCTAACTTCAGTCTCCTTGATTCCCTGTTTCCCTGTTGTTTTTGCGCCATAGATTCTTTGCATTGGGTTTCTTAAATAGAATTTTGCACTTCTCCCAAAGCAAATTCTTCTCCCCCCACCCCTTGAAAACAAATTCAGCAAGGAAAAGACAGGGACATCATTGGATTCCAGTTTTTGCAGTCCCCATTGGAGAGCTGGAAGCTGATTATCCTATTTGGAGTTTTCTGTGGATGTAGTGAGGATAATTGCTGCCCTTGGTTGAGCTCGCCTTACAGAACTTGGGGAATTTATGAGGCATGACAATAGTGGCTGTGTGAAATTGCCCTAAGTCACAGAACTGGAAAAGACTTGGGAAATAGGTGGATTTTAAAAAAATTGATTTAAAAAAAAATGCTTCCACAATCTCTCTAGGCGAGACAGTTGCAATTGGAATTATGGAAAAAATGACTGATAATTATTTTTGTCTTTGGGGAAAAATGCTGTAATTTGGTGGTGCTACTTGAGAGAATTATTGTGCCTCCTTCTAAGCTATGAACAGTTTTATAAAGACATTTTCTCTTGAAAAGCAGCATTAAAAATCTTAATGATAGATGTTCGCTGAAATTTGAGTATTTATTTAACTCTCGCTGGGAAGCCTTGTAGTTTGTAATTCAGCTACCCCATCTAGTTCTACCCACTTTCCATTTCTTTATTCATGCATTTTCTTTGTTTCTTTCATTGGGACATTAATAAAGGAAAAAAGAGGCAGACGAAAAGGAGATGCTGTGATTTTTCCTCCCCTGTTGCCGCAGGTCAAAAAGGAAAAAAAAAAAAGGCTTCTTGGTTGAACTAATGCATGTGAGTAATTAATTAGTATGCATTTCATTGATTAAATCATTCTTTAATTGAATATAAGTAGAAAGACACATGGATTAAATGTTACCAATTACACGTCTCAGAAATATAGCTCCAATACTAAAGATCAGTTGAAACATTAATTGCATCAGGGGTACCCAACACTTTGGAGGATAGTGGACATATCTGGAAGTTTTGAAAAGAGATGATGGATACTTTCACAAAATGTCTCATGTCAGATATCGCTTATCATGATATACAGTAGCTATTTACCAGAGGGTGAATTGTTTCCTGCCATCTCCTGTAGCCTTTCACGATGTTCCTATGACTCCACTTTCACAGATGGATAGGTCATGT